ACAAGACAATTCACCGGTAAAATGCCGAAGGACCAAAAAAATACCACCGGAGAGAAATTCTAAAAAAGAAAAAAAAAGGGTAGTATAAAACTACCCAAAGAAGTACCAAAGACAATTCACCAGCAAAACGCCGAAGAGCAAAAGAAATACTACAAGACAATTCACCAACAAACGCCAAAGGACCAGAAGAAATACCACAAACCAACTTATCAAAAAACACTGAAGTACCATAGGCAATTCACCAGAGAACGACGAAAGACCAAAAGAAGTACCAAAGACAATTTACCAGCAAAACACCGAAGAACAAAAGAGATACCACAAGACAATTTACCAGTAAAAGCAAAACGCTAAAGAACAAGAGATACCACAAGACAATTCACCGGTAAAACGCTGAAGGACCAAAGAAATACCACCGGAGAAATTCTAAAAAAGAAAAAAAAGAGTAGTATAAAACTACCCAAAGAAGTACCAAAGACAATTCACCAGCAAAACGCCAAAGAACAAAAGAAATACCACAAGACAATTTACCAGCAAACGCCAAAGAACCAGAAGAAATACCACAAACCAACTTACCAAAAAATGCCGAAGTACCATAGGTAATTCACCAGAGAACGACGAAGGACCAGAAGAATTACCAAAGACAATTCACCAACAAAACACCGAAGAACAAAAGAAATACCACAAGACAATTCACCGGTAAAATGCCGAAGGACCAAAAAAATACCACCGGAGAGAAATTCTAAAAAAGAAAAAAAAAAAGGGTAGTATAAAACTACCCAAAGACAATTCACCAGCAAAACACCAAAGAACAAAAGAAATACTAAAAACAATTCACCAGCAAATGCCAAAGGACCAGAAGAAATACCACAAACCAACTTACCAAAAAACACTGAAGTACCATAGGCAATTCACCGGAGAACGACAAAGGACCAGAAGAAGTACCAAAGACAATTCACCAGCAAAACGCCGAAGAACAAAAGAGATACCACAAGACAATTCACTGGTAAAACGCCGAAGGACCAGAAAAAATACCACCGGAGAGAAATTCTAAAAAAGAAAAAGGGTAGTATAAAACTACCCAAAGAAGTATCAAAGACAAATCACATGCAAAATGCCGAAGAACAAAAGAAATACTACAAGACAATTCACCAGAAATGCCAAGAACCAGAAGAAATGCTACAAACTAACTTACCAGAAAATGCAAAAGAACCAGAAGAAACACTATAAAGCAATTCACCTGCAAAACGCTAATGGATCAGCACCAGCAAAACGCCGAAGACCAGAAAAAATATCGCAAGACATTTCACCAAAGAACGCTGAAGCCGGAACTGTGCTAAAAAAAAAAAGCTTTAAAACCAAAAAAAGACAAAAAGCATCTAAAATATAAAAAAAAAAAAATGTACGTACGTACGTACGTACATACCTGATACGTACCAGGTACGCGTACGTATGTACGTACATACGTGGCTATAAAAAAAATAAAATTACGTTAGATCGAAGATCGAAAAGGCCAACCCGGTAAACGGACCAATCTTCAATGTGATTGGTCAATCATATAGGGGTCTCTATGCGACGGGTTGCTAATTTATTTTTTCCTTTTTAGATATATATTTTAAAAAAATTTATAATATTAAAAATAAATATAATAAAGCTTATACTTACTTCCTAATAATTTGGTAGAGTTATTTGTTAAAGCATTTTTGAGAGATATATTTTAAAATTATTAGTATTATTAAAAATAAATATAATAAGGCTTATACTTACTGACTAATAATTTAACAAAACCATTTGTTTAAATATTTATTTTATAAATAATAATTTTAGAATCCATTTTTTAAAAAAATAAAAAAACTTTTTCTGGGTAATAAATAAATAATTTTATAATATAGTTTATATTCACCAACTAATAATTGTCAAGAGAAAAATATATATTATAAAGTTATGATTAACGCAATACAAAAATCAAGTAAAAATTTAACAACCATCAAGTTTATACTTACCGGCTAATAATTTGATAAATCTTATACTTACAGACTAATAATTTGACAGCGACTTTTGTCAGAATATTTTGATGGATGCATATTTTAAAATCCTCAATAATTTTAATAAATCTACTTACGGGCTAATAATTAGAGAGAGGTATTTGTTAGAACACTTGCTAAATGCATATTTTAATACTCTCAATAATTTTAAAAAATAAAGAGAAAAAAAAACTTATACTTACGAACTAATAATTTGACCAATATATTTATTAAAATATTTATTATATGATTGGTGAATACTTATATTAAAAATTTATATACAGTCGATACTGTCTAAATGCATAACATCGGGAAAGGCAAAAAAAAACAAATTTATGCATTTATACAGTATTAGCCAATCAAATACCAGAAAATCAACTGTCTAAATGCATATTACTAATAAATTATTTAAAAAAATTATGCATTTACACAGTATGCAGTATGTATTTAGACAGAACAATAGTATTTACCAGCTAATAATTTTACAAAGTATTTGTAAAATATGGTTGGAGATAAAATGTATATAATAGTTTAAAATTATCAATAGTAAGTTTATAAATAATTATAATTAAACTTATAATACCAGCTAGCAATTTGCAAGAAAAAATATATATTATAGAATTGTTAAATACGTAGTATAATTTACAAATTGTCTAAATTTAAAAGCATATACTTACGGACTAATAAGACAATAAAAAAATATATATGAAATTAAAATAATTCCATTAAACAAAAATTTAAAAACAAATATAAAGCATATACTTACATACTAATAAATTAATAGAAATATTTGTTAAAATATTTATAAGATAATAATTTTATAATACGTAAAGCTTATACTTACCGGCTAATAATTCAATAACAAATGTATATTGTTATAAAGTTATAAAAAACATATTTAAATTGCAAATGGAACATTTTGTAACAAACACAAAAAGTTTATGCTTACCCACTAATAATTCAATAAAAGAAAAATTGTGCATTATAAATTCATAATAGCATTAAAATAAATAAATAAAAATTTAAAAATAAATATATTAACGCTTATGCATACCAGCTAACAATTTAACAAGAGAAAGTGTATATAATGAATTATTAATAGTGTAATTTTAAAAATTATCAAATAAAAAATTTAAACAAATTATTTGTTAAAATATTTGTTAGAAACATATTTTAAAAATCATCAATATTCATTTAAAAACAAATATAATAAATCTTATACATACAGGCTAATAATTTGACAAAGATATTTGTTAATATGCATAATTTAAAAATCATCGATTATAATTTTATAAACAAATATAATACGTATAGCTTATACTTACGAGCTAATAATTTAATTAATAAATCATCAAATGAAAATTTAAAAACAAATATATTAAACCTCATAATTATTTGCTAATAATTTAATAAAAGTAAATGTAAATAAAAGTTATAAATAGGATAATTTAAAAATAAATTTTTAAAAACAAATATAGCATTTACTTACAGGCTAATAAATTAATAGATACGTTTATTAAAATATTTGTCAGATGCATATCTTAAAAAATCATCAAAATGTAAACTTAAAATAAATATAATAAAACTTTTACTTACATACTAATAATTTAATAATAATTTAGATACAATATAGTAAATTTATGCTTACCAACTAGTAATTCAAAAAAAAAAAAGTTAATTGTGCATTAATGTTATAAATAATAATTAAATGTTATTCCAATACATGACAAATCAATGAAATACATACTCTCTAATATTTAACAAGGGGTTATGAATTTTTATATATTTAAAATAATAAACTGTCATAAAACAATAAATCAGATTAAGTACCGTTTTTCTAAAACATTACGTTTTTCTAAGACAGCAGGCGAGGCAATTATCAAGGAAACATTTAAAATAGCAATGATAAGAACTAAAACGATGTAATCGAATTTCATTTTGACAGTTTTAGACGGAACGTATTATCAGATAAGTGATTATTTAACACCTTTATCGAGCTCAAGTTGTATTTATAATTAAGAAGGCTAGGCATTCATATCCGTTTTTGGCTTAAGATAATTTTGATACATCCTCCTGACTTTTATTCATCTTTTTAACTCCAATTACATTAAAAAAAAAACTTTTAAACGTAATAATTGGCAAATCGTGCACCTTTTAGTACATGATAGACCTATTACAGTTTTTTCTAATAATGGCTTATAGAGTAACACGCGGAAGAGTTGATGAAAACATCCATGTGAATTAGTACCTTGTTCGTATTAATGGTTAATGGTAGTATGGTTTGTTAAAAAAGGTAATTTTTCCTCATTGTGAAGATTTAAACGCGTTATTGTATACAATGGTTAAGGTTATCCTGAAAATGCGAGAAATAGAATCTATTCTCATGTTTTGATAATAATCATACTTGTCTTATTATGTAACTCCACTCGTTATGTCTTTAACGTTCTTATCAATTAATTTCCGTGAAATGAATATATTAAGATCACACTTTCATCAATTTAAATTAAATACACCATTATTGAATCACTTTAAGGATCACTTAAATTATTAAGTATTTATTTAATTTATTTGTCGCTGATTAATTCACTCTTTATAATAATGGTGACTTTTATTTTTTAAATTAAAAATAATAATATTAAATATTTAATATGAAAGTATCAATAGGATGCTATATTCGGTGATTAGTCAGATTTTTAACAGTTTATGTATTCAATTTAGGATATGCCACAAAAACATATGTAAAATTTAATTTTATCACCAACCGTATCATTTTCAACAAATTAAATCGTTAAAAATTTTCATCAATTTAAATAATCCATTTTCAATTTTTAATTGTTAAAATAAAAATCCGACTTTATTGCGCTTCGCAAAAAGATGTTACATATACAGATCACGATGTTATGTTAGAATTGAAGATTCTATAGATTTTAAGAATTTTATCAAAAATTATAAACATAACCAAACAAAATGTAAAACAACAGACATTTAAAACCTCGAATTTTCCAGATCATTATCACAAATCATCTTTTTTGCAAAATGCTATAATATTTAATTGTTATTAAAATACAAAAATAAAATATTAATTTTTAATCATTAAAATTACAAAAGTAATAAAAGCTTTATTATTACTTTCAAATCAATTCAAATACTAAATTTCCACACCTCATTTCCTATTCTCTATTCTTTATACTACTATACTATAACCAATTACTATCTCAATATACATCTTCTATTACCATTATTATACTAAGATATACTAAGTATGTGTTAGGGTATAATTGCTAGATCTCTAATACACGAGCTAGCCTATTGTTATTTTCTTGGAACAAATTTGTGTGAAAAGAAAATTCTCATTGTTTTTTTTTTAATGCTATTTATTTTGTATAATTATTAACAATGTAAATTACAATATAAATTATATTTATAGGGTATTCTTATAGCAATGATGTATATGATCCTTTAACCATTGTACTTGATGTATATACATTTTTACAAAATTTTTTATAAGAACTTCATAAATATACTAATTTAATTGCCATATTGCTGATAAATCATAAGCATTGTTAAGATTGTTTAAATTGTTAACATTGTTAATATTAAGAAAAAATTATTAATTGTTGACATGGTCCTTTAACATAAATAGTGGTATTATTAGCTAATGTCAGTGATGATAATGGAATATTTATAGCTGGTAAATATTATTTGCAGAACTTATAATTTAGTGGAGGAGGAATTGTTATGTTAAAAATTTCATTTCAATAGGTTCTCAAATACTGCAGTTATTAGAGTTTCACAATTTAATTTGATTTGATTTGATTTGATCAAATATTTGAATTAAAATCAAGTTCAAATATAGAATTTCAAATCAAATCAAATTCAAATTGATAAATATTTGATTTGATCAAATATTTGAAATATTTGATTTAATTTATAGAGTTGTAATTAAAACTATAATTATAATAGCTATTTTTTCAAAAATTTATTATACTAATCACTTTTTTTGTTCTATAAAACAAGGGATATTATGGAATGTAGAATATTTCTTATATAGTAAATAAAGTTGATTAACTTGGTAAAATTTTGTGTAAATTGAAGATTTTGAAAAATGGCAATATTTTAAAATTTTTGAAAACTTCAAATCAAATCAAATTCAAATACAGATTTTTCAAATTAAATCAAATTCAAATATAGATTTTTCAAATTCAAATATGCCTAATATTTGATTTGATTTGATTTTGAAGAACCCTAGCAGTCATGCATGCTTATAAATGTGCATAATCTATGCAACAATATAAAAATAAAAGAAATTATATTGTATTTTTTAAAAATAAAGCAATCACATTTTAATAGTATTCTTTGATATAAGTATAATTAAATAATTAGCTGTCAAATTTAGCAAAACACCAATAAGAGAATAGAATAATAGATAGTACTTCCCTTTAGATTAGATATAAAAACCCTTACTTTTACCTTGTTCTAACTCAGACTTTGACTTCTCTTGATTACCTTTCGAATTCTCCTACGTATTTAGAATAAAATTTCTTATTTCTTTTATATTTGTTAATTACTTTATTGGTTAAATAAAGTAGCCATGTCTTCATACACGTTAAATTTCATTTTCTTTTTAATAAAGCCCAATAAACGGTATCACGTGACCACGTGACTTAAACGTCCATTATTAAGTTATTATACTAACCTTTGTATCTCCATATACAATTGTTGTTGGTAACTCTTTCGATAAAGCCTTTTAAATCTTCTTAGATAAGTCGTGTAATCGACATTGTAATTGTTGTCCATATCACCATAGTTATAGTCTTCATCCTATAGCGTCACGTCCCTTGAATTTCGTTATGAGGTGAATTTCGAGTGTGACAATGTAATCTCTAGTTGTAAAGAAAAAAACATTTTAGCATTTTTTGTTTTCAAAAGAAATTGATAAACAACAATCTTTTAGCAATGATAAAAATTTATTATTGGTTGGTGAAATAATGATAATACAATCAATGTATAATATAAGATTCTTAAAATAGTATAGTTTAGAAATCCTATTGCCAAATTCACCATATAAAATATGATTAAGCCAGTCTAATTTATTATTAATAATAGTGACTAAAATTACAATTACAAAAAATTATAAGAATGACTGGGTTAATTACAGTAAAAAGTATTGATGTAAAATTCTAAGAACTTTTTTACTCTACGTATCTACGTGATTTACAGTAATCATATAAATCATTTCTGACTTTAAGAATTTGTATACATTTCTTCATCAAAATTCTTTCAATAATGAAACTATTAGAGGAACAAATAAAGCTAATTGTATTAAAAATGAAGACTTTGACATTCTTGAAGAATCGGCACTACTAATAGCAGTTGGGTGAGGGCTATTAGTAGAATTAGTAACCGAATTTTTGGAAGCAGCCGTAGATGAAGAATTGTCATTGGGCGAAGAGGCGTCATTGGTCGAAGAGGCGTCATTGGTCGAAGAGGCGTCATTGGTCGAGGTTGGGGGTACAAACGTGCTTCCGTTAACTGTAAATGGTTGAGAAGATTGTATGATTTGGAAGCCTTGTTCGCTACTAGCACAAATTACACAATTGAGAGTGATTGGTCCAACATCAGTTGTAGGAGGAGTCCAATTAAATGTGACGTTGGCAGGTTTATCTGAAGCAGCTATAATATAGAACAAGTAAAATAAGTAAAGTGAAAAAAAAAATTATAGTGAAAATAAATGCGAAAAAAATACATACAGTTATGAGTAAGTGTTCCTTGTGGATCACCGGGACAGTTTGCCATTAATTTATAACCAGATGAAACGGTCCATTGACCAACATGATTATTAGAGGAATCAGCGCCATAAAATAAGATCCCTTTAAAAGTTGTTATAGTTGTACCAGTAATTGTAAATTGTATTGCAGGACCACCTGGAACATAAGTATGACTATCCTGGGACATAGAAACTGAATAGCCTAAGTCACTCTTCTTGCCCATAGGAGAATTATTTACCGCTTCGATAGTTGCTTGATCAGCATTACATGTACCGGAACCGCTAGAAAATGCATAAGCAACAGTTACGAAGGCTAAAATAGCTGCTATGTAAAGGAATCCAGTATGAAATATTGAACGCATAATTTTAAATGATGAAAAGCTTTATATACGAAAATTTTGTATAATGAAGTTTTTTTTAGGAAAAAAAATTTTAAACGGGTGTTAAAAGAATGTAAATGTTATTAGTTAACTCTTTCGCAGAAATGAGTCGAAGGGAATTTCGAGAAATAATGAAGTAGGGTTTATACAAAGTTTAAATTTTAGACCAAATTATTATTTATTTATATTACTAGCTAGCATGTACGTATGTACATATGTACAGCACGTATATATATGTACTACAAATATGATAAACACAAGAATTTTTACATCCATTCTAATAGTGTCAGCCTAATTACTTGGCACAATAGTGAAAAAGTAATTTTGATTGAATCGGAAAACTGATTGGCAAATCTATTAATTCTGCAAATATATTCAATTACTTGGCGGGTTACAGGTTGTACAAATGGTACTTTTAATTGTACAGTTAAATAAATGTAAAATCGGTACACCAATTAATGCTGTAATAATTAATATTCAAGTAATACATATCATGTGATAATTAATATTTACGTTACAATACACTCTTTATTTTATTAACAAATATGCTTATCCTTATGCATCTAGTATACTGTACCTTTATGTGAAAATCGTTATTTCGGTTATTAGATATTGTTATGAAGTACGGATTAGTTTACTAGCCAAGAATCGTTTACTAACCAAGGAATCTATTCACTCATTTTGTTGGTTTGTTACGCAATGAATAGAATAAATAGTCGCCACCGAAAATATCCGATACGGACGTATATACGTTGTTATGGTCGATATAAAAAACATTTAAGTTTTCTTTTTTTGTAATTTTTATTTTTATTGCGGTGTTGTAAGTCACATCTGTTGTGAGTTTCATGTTCGAATTGACCATTGGTTACGAACCTAATAGGAAAGTTAATAGCCACCCGGAGATGTGAAGAACCAGTGGAAGAAGTTATAACCACCAGGAAGAGTATCAAACAAGCAGAATAAAGAAATTATATAAGTATATTTTTCTGGTGATGCTGGAGAATAGGTTGAACGAACTTGACTAGAAAATGATGTCCTTTAATGTCTCTTATAGTCATATACTTGAATAACGATAATGGTATAGTATTAATGGTAGTTAGCACTATTTCACAATATTATTTGTAATTCTATTTAACAAAATCTGATTTTTCTGTACGTTAAGCATTGTTTTCTTATAATATTTATTGATATGAAGTTTTTAATAGCTAATAAATATAAAATAACATCCATTGAACTCATGTACTCCCTAAATTTTTGTTGACTATCTTTGGATTTTAGATACAATTATATCACTATTTTTATCTACTCGCAGTTACAACATGTGTTCCTACGGACGTACGAACGTACATAATGTCTCTTACTTATACGAAATTTGTTCTTTTTTTTAAAAAAAAACTAATACTAGAATTTAAATATGTCCTTAAGCAACAGGCTAGATTAAATATCTTTTGATTGATTTTACAATAAGGTATGCATATCTATTGTCGGGAAGCACATATTGCAGTGAATTATATTATACACCTGTTTATCATGTCAGCCAATTAATTAATTGTATAAAATAGAGTTAAAATTTAAACGTATACAAATTAATTAATTAGCCGACGATAAAGATATCCACGGAAACAGAATGGTTCCTGAAAATAGATATACATGGATAGATATACATGTTATGTGACATTATAGGTTCCCATCAATTCGGAATTGGCATGTCATTTTTGAATTTCCATCAATCAACGAATGACCTACGCTTTATTAACGGCATAAATCTTATTAATAAAATAGCTTTAAATGCATATAATATGTATAAGGCAAAGAAAACAAACACATCAATCTTTCTTAATGATTATTTAGTATAAACATTTGTTTTTTTTTGCTCGCAAATTCCCTTGAATAAACACTAAAAAATACTAAAATTATACATTCGAATCGTGAATTTGTCATATCTGCATCCTAGTATCAATAAGGCGAGATGCACAAATAATTGTTCTGTAAATGATTCGCTACTATTAAATGCAAGTGGATATTAAATAATCATATCAGCCGATTTGTTTTGAATACAAATCAACCAATTATAATCGAGGATATCAAAAATTTCATACGAAAATTTATTACCAAGTATATATTAATTTCACAAAAAAACAGGTTTGCATTATTAATTATATAGAAGATTACGAATTTATGTATTTAATTATTGGTCAAAAGTAAATTAAAAAGGAATTTTTTTTGAAAAATTGCTTCCGAATTCACCCCTTACATTATTAACCAACGTTAAATGGCCAATCCTAAAACACCCGTGTAATGGCAAAAGCGCTTCTTTCTACAGCTTAACGTAGCTTTTTTTATTCGTCTTTATCTGTCTAATACAAAAAAAGCTTTTTTTTTTTTAGTCGTGACAAATGCTTTGTTTGTTGTTACTTTTCAATGTCACTTTGGGGCAATCTTTTGTGTAATAGTTTATTGATAAAAGGCCCCGGAAATAAAATTAGCCTGATATGCTTTCAAAGTAAACTTTTGTTTGCCTATTTAATTGTTTATTAAGTTTTATATTATTAATAAGTAATTTTGCAACTAAAAATTTTTTATTACTGTCATTGTAAAAAGACTAGTTGCTACATTAAATCGTGCTCCTTTAGAAGCAATTCGCTATTTTCAAGGCGATGTGAATAAATGATATTTATTTAATTTCATGTATTATGATGTTTTATTTTTTTTTAAATAAATAATTATTACTCTTATTGTCATATAACTGATAATAAAATTTATATTTTCCAATGGCAGTAAAATTAGTACTGATTTCAAATCGATTCAACAAATGACGCTATGAATTGGCTGTATAACCAGTAAAAACAGAGCATAAATTTTGGGTAGTTCCAAGGGGTGCTGGTCAAAATCCCGACAAACAGAATCACGACAGGTCATAATCCCGACAAAAAAATCCCGACAAACAAAAATCCCGACAAATCCCGACGACTAAAATTATTTAGTTCATTTAAGTTAGGGTAGGGTTAGGTGAGTGCATAAGTTAGGGTTAGGGTGTGCGCTCAGGTTAGGGTTAGGGTTTAGGTGATTATATAGTAAGATTGCTCAAATGAACACTTTTTTTGTTTGTCAGGATTTGTCGGGATTTTTGTTTGTCGGGATTTTGACCTGTCGGGATTTTGTTTGTCGGGATTTTGACCCAAACCCAATTAAAATAATTTAATAGTATTTAAATATAATATAACCTATTATCTGCGCTAATGTTTTACATACCGAATTTTAATGATTTAAATGATTAATTTATCATTAAATTTTTTTTCTTTTTATCAGTGTGATTAACAAAAAGGAGAGCGTATCAGTCGTTAAATTTAATCTATTATGATAAAATCAATGATCGAACATGAACAATTGCGAACGATAAATAATATGATTTATTAAAATAGTTTCGTGAATATGCAAAGTTTTTATAATAATTAAAAAAAAAAAAAAAATGCATGATTTATTATATTTATCTGTGGATGCTGTAAGATCTGGAATAGTTAATCTAATAATACCGGCTAAAATTTTCCCAGAGTCAATTTATATTTAAAAAGTAAATCAGAAATGAGTGATTAGTGATTAAGGGAAAAGACATTAAAAATACCATAATACATTCATGACGTTTCGAAAATCGCATCATCCAAAAAAATAACATGCATTTCATCGAAATAACGTGCGTGCTTGGATCAATGTAAATTTTTTCTAAGTATAACTTTGGACAAAAATTACTCAACAATAACTTAATCAAATTTAATAATTTTCTTAAAATAATTCTAAAAACTTACAGATATCATTTAAAAAAATCCCTACTTACCGGTACTAAATATGATGAAGTTTTTGTTAAGTATTTTTTGTTTAAGATTTAAAAAATTCCATTAAAAAAGATTTGATGCGTTTCTACTGACTCACCCCCATATGTATAAAAATCCACTTCAGTAATCTTTTCACAATTTTTAACAAAGCGTGATGCATAATTGATACTATTTTAGCATCTATCTTATTTTGTGATTAATATAATCCTTGCAAAGTGAATCTTTATTTATCTGCAATAATCTTACCCTTATAATTATATTAATGTAACCACATGTCTGGCACTAAGACTATGTTGAATGCATTCGCGATTGAATGGTATCAATGAAATAAAGTAAAATTTCACATCACAAAAGTAAAACAAAGTTAATGACCGAGAATAGATAGTATCTGCTTCCAAAACAACTTTGCGCGTTTTGAATTAAATAATTTGTAATTAATAAAGAATTAATGACTCCCCAACCAAGATTAAATGCAAGTAAGGATTCTTGGATACTAACATTTAAGATTTCTATAATCTTATTCATCACCTCGGTAGTCAATGATAGAATATTGGCTATATAAATAATCATCGATCATTTTGAAAGAAAAATGTAAAGATTACTTGATTGAACGATTCCATTTAGCCATAGAACTGTTATTGTGCAGGACATCTAGTCGTATCAAAAAATAATTACTTGCAATAAAAGTTTAATAACTTATTAAAAAAATAAGCAATTAGAAAAAAACTTTCTATAATAATATTATTTTAAGACCCAAAGAATATAAGTATAGAGTTTTTTTAAAAAGTTCTTTTATTAAAAAGTTATTTTGATTCAAAATTTCTTTAATTTATTGATATTTTAAAAAATTCAGCACTTTATTTTATTAGTAAATATAAAAAATTCATATAAAATACTTTTTAATAAATTGCTTAATATATAAAATTTTTTTTCAAACTTTAATCAGTCTCTTTTTAAATATTTCAGCACTATTAAACATTATATAATTTTTAAAAAATTCAGCATTAAATTTTAAAATTCAGCACTAATTTTTAAAATTTCAACGCCTTATATATAATTACATATATATTTCAAATTTCAGCGCTTTGATGTGATTAGATGTCCTGCACCATATTGATAAACATAGTAAATTTAATAGTGATAAATGTCCTGGTGGATTATCTCAGAAATATAATAATCTCCTTTGAAAGGGCAATTATGATTCGATCCATAATTCTCTGAACATAAATATGCACTTCAATTTGTACCCATTTTCTAATATTGCCTCTTGTTTTGTATTTTTCATATGAAAATGAGCCAAGAATTCTTTGCCTTCTGAAAGAATAACATACATAAGAATAAAATAGTAGAAATCGTGACTATTCCTCGCAAACCATAGCACATTTGACCATATAAACTTCACATTCCAAGATACAATAAATGCCCATGCAACATTAAAATCTCTTTGATTTAGTTGGATGTTTTGACCCGCGTGACCCACAAAAAGCACACGCAGAATCATAGTTGACCTGTAAGTTCTTGTGCTCCACAATCCGCAGTACTCTACTTTCTAAAAGATGATTATTTCTCTTCTGTAGTACAGTCAAAGGAATCTAATCCGGCAATAATAGCACAATTAAACCATAATTAATATTATGGATACTAAAAGTAGGGACTGGGACCGCCTTAATTGTTTAACCGTATTAACCGTTTAATTCAGCTGGCATTAAAATTGTCTTGGCCTATGATCAGCATAATTCGGCTTGAAATTATAAAAATTCGGCTTGGAATTATAAAAATTTTTATGCGATTACAGTAAATGGTTCCGGCACGACCTAACTTAATTTGGATTCGGTCTATACACATTTTACAATATGATATTTTGTAACTACAGTATTGAAGAAATAAAACTGGGGATAAATTTTTATTGACACTCACTGAGGCAAACCAATGATCACGGAGTTATTCGTTGACAGAACTTAGATAGACAGGGAAATTCTTTTTTTCTTTAATTAATGATATACATTTCGCCAATGCTAAATCTATTTGAATTCAGTATTCACTTATTTTCTACTTCCAAAGCAACGCTAAGCATATTGTTCATCTTTTCCAAGACCGTTTTCAGAATTTTAAGTACTGCTTTATTGTGCTTTTAACCAATAGTGGTGTCTTGCTTTAAATTCATTACAAATTCTAATCAATTTAAGAAAAAACTGATTTCAGGTCCTTAAGAAACTTCGAGAATTCTGGAACTACGTACGCACTTCACGTGAATTATTTATATAACTTATTTAAAGGAAATTTAACTTCTATTTTTATCAAGATTATATTGATGTTAGATCTATTTTATTTAGAGCGAAAATAGCAATCCGGTCAACCCAGGTTAAACATTTGACCGGACTATGGCACGGGTCAATAGTCACATAGGTTAAGTTTGGTATACAGTACTGTATATGCTTGAGATATAAATATTTAGATCAGAACATCCCGCGATTTTATAAAAAAAAAAACTTACTTATAATTTGAGTTATTTCATTTTTTATGTCGGAAAAGCCGGTTCATTGGAATTTATCCATTTATTTAACTGACCAATTTGATCCGTTTCAAGGCAATTTTTGACAAATTACTCTTCAAAATACTAACTAGTTCGAGTAGAGATTTGAATAGATGGGCAAATTTCCGGCATCGTTCAACAAGTTCCTTTAACGAACATTCTCCAAGCATCGATTATATAATAAATTCACAATACTCAGCTTTTATATTGCAACATGCAGAAGATACCCATAAGATCTCAAACTATTTAATTATTTGATTTTGATAGAGAATCTTGACTTGTGAATTTGAAAAAAGAAAATTTCATCAATGCTCGGGAAGCTCAGTTTATGACAAATGAAACTCGAAACTCATCGATTCTAATTTTTACATACAGGTCAGCCTGATCCGGATAACAGCTCTATTATTTTTATTAATACTAAAATAAAAAATTATAAACGTTATAGAAAAAATAGTGATATTGCTAAATTAACTAAATAAAAATTTTTAGAAATAAAAGGTTTGCTCATTAAAAATTCCATATAAACAAACAGTATTTATAACAATAACAAGCTTAAATACGATATTTATATATGTCAATAATTTCAAGAACATACAATTTAAATTTTTTTTCTACAACTTGAAACCACAAAATATCTAAGTATTTTAGAAAAGATAAAAACACCAATAATCAGCTGTGCTAAAATTTATAGTATACATTGTATTTAAAATATTTATTCATCTTTTTTTATTTTAAACTTATTCAATTCGTTATTTGTAAATCTTCAATATTCAATTCATTCAATTCACTATCTATTATTAAATAAATTATAATTAGCGTTAATAAAAAAAATAAGATTTACTTATTATAAATCATAAATATAAATACCCTGATAATATGATTTAGTATACTCAACAAATTTGCTTTTATAAATGACATCAGAATATGTTTGAATATCTATACTTTTGTTTTTTATTATTTCTTCAGATTCTGATAATTCCAATAAAATATTTTTGTCATTTTGCCATTCTATAAGGATTTCACAGATTTCTACAGCTGATGAACGGTTTTTTGGTTCTCTTTCCCAGCATTTTTTCATCAAGTTTAGATAGCATTGTGGTGTGTTCTCTATAATTTTTGGTCGTAAATTTTCTCGACATATTTTAAATTGAAGTTGAGTCCCAAATTCTTGATTATAACTTATAGATCTTCCATATAAAATTTCCCACATATTATTCCAAATGAATAAATATCTGATGCTGTTGTATAATGTTCTCCGTCCAAAATTTCTGGTGCTATATATGGTAAAATTCCATAAACTCCATGCCTTTCCGTACTTAATGCATTGTTAGTTGTTATTGAAAGTCCCAAGTCTGCAATGTAAGCGCTGTGTAAATTGTCTTGTAAAATATTACCACTATGCAAATCTCGATGAATAAGCCCTTGAGAATGAATCATTTGAAGATCAGATGCGATACAATGTAATAAAGTTAATTTATCTATCCACTTCATTCGTAACATAGAGTGAAGATTTTGACGTAATGAACCCATTAATGCATATTCCAAGACAAGAATATAATCTTCTGAAGTTTCATCTTTTGATATTCCATAACACTTTAGAAATGAGGGATGCTTGGAACTAATATTATAATAAGCCTTTAACTTAAAATATATATATACGTAAATATTTTTGGACATTAAAAAAAAATAATAATAAAAATAATACCAAAACAATTATTATAAAACACATCTATAGTGTCTTACACCCATTATATGTTTTTTATTATTTTTTATATTTTTCTAAGTTTTGTATATAAAATTTTTATCTCAAATTTTCATGTTGGTATTTAAGGTTAGAATTAAATTAGAATTTGGAAAGGGTTTATGGGCATGGAGCATTTTTACTTAGAGCATCACATACTAATTAATTGGTCAATTTTAAGATAATATATATCAAAAAAATTTTTAGGCATATTATTATCAATATACAATGAATAATAGAGATGATCAGATAAAATATAATATGTATAAATTGATGTATATCTAAAATTGTTAGACAGCTTTGTTTTGTTATATATCTAAAATTGATTATAATCATATCCGTTTAGCTCAATATACAATGATTCAAAGATACTAATCAATATATGGGGTCTTTTCCTTGAAAATGACCTTATGAAATCATGTACCATAAGGTCATTTTCAAGGCAAAGACCCTATATAACCTTTGATTTACAATATAGAGAGCCCTAATTTCCCCACCATTTCTGATTGGAGCAGCGAATATTGCCTCTGATTGGACAAATAATTTACATTGCCAAAAAATAAAGTAACAATAATAAAAAATAAATAAATAAAAAAATAACAATAATAAAAAAAAATAAATAAAAAAATAACAATAATAAAAAAATAAAATAAAAATAACATTAATAAAAAAAATAATAAAAATAACAATAAAAAAAAATAATAATAAAATAAAAATAATAAAAAAAATAATAATAAAAATAATGGTAATAAAAAAATAATAATAATAATAATAATAATAATAAAATAAAATGATAAAAAGAAAAGCTTCATTTTGGTATACAATAATTTGTTCATTAATTTATAATGTAAAGTTTGTATTTATATAGTTTTATTAGTATATATCAGTATGACAATCTGTACTCTTCTCAACTACAACC